GTATGCGCAAAATTATCGGCATATCTACCATTTTTTATTTTTTCCTAATTAAATATTTAGATAGGTACTAATAAGATTTACTACAGACATCTATTGCTGTACTGCAATATTATAAAATGGCAATATTTTTTTTTTAACGTTTCGTATTATTAAAAAAATATATTTTATCAACAACATTTTAGGAACGTTAGTGTGTATTTTTTAAAGTAGCATATTTCTCATATACAGTTGACGGAAAAACATAAATTTGATTTGATAACAATTTATCAAATCAATATAGTTTTTAAATGCAAATACAATTTTTAATAGTTTTTTAAGCTTTTAAAAATGTTATGAGCGGTAGGTACAAGAACCCCTTTTCAAAATCAATTCGTGTCTTGTTTTATGAATATATAAAGGTATTATTTTTTAATATATATAAAAAAATATTTCTTCTAAAATAGCACTTAATAACATTATCATTTGATTCGATACAGTCATCATTGATGTTTTTATACATACCGGTATTGATAAATAATAAATACACATTTGTCATTTTCAATAACAACAACGTTAATAAAGTTTAGGTCGCTAAAATGTAGGTATATAATATGTAATGTTTAGAAACTTCAGTTTGACAGTGCTTTGAGTGTTATTGATTCTTTACGCCTGTTACGAATAATAATTGATGTATAATAGATACAAAATAGGTTTCATATTATTTAGAGGTTTAATGAGGTTTTCGTTGCTGCGTGTGACATTTGTCTTCTATTCTTCGGGTTGATTCGCGGCCTCTAAAACCTTCTATTCTCGACTAGTTTTCCGCCGATATCTATGTCCATAGCTACTAGAGTCTTCTAATCTAATCCGCCTCTTAGGGTTTACTATATGCTTTCTAACTAAATCTTTCCTTGATCATTATTCTTTCAAAAGAGCTTCTCCCCTATCGGATTCCGTTGCAACACACACGTCCAGCCAATCACAATTCGCCTTTCCTGATGATTTCCAAAATGTTTTTTACCCAAGTATCTACTTCTTGGTAAACGAACGGCGTCCAAGTCGACCGCACTTACAAGTACGGAACTGCCGTGTGCGGCCGTTCGAAAACAGAATAATAATAATGTGTTTTATTATTATCTAGCCAAGATAATATAAACATACGTGTGTACATTGAATCGCGTTGCGCCGCGCCGGGCGGCAACGGCGGCAGTCGCACAGAGCGCAGTCGGAACCGAAACGGACGGACAACCCGGAGGAGGAGTGGTTACGTCGGGACCGTGTGTCGCCCATTGGTTGGCCGGACCGCCACCCCGCCCGTCCCACGCGGCCAGTACACGCCGTCGTGTACAACGCACGTCCATCACCTGTGCCGCCGCCGTTGTTTTATTTCCCTCCTACGGCTCTCCCATGTGAAGAAAATACACCACCACCAACAACAACAACAACAACAACAACCGATTTGCCTCATTATTATTATTGTTGCGGCGGCGGCGGCGGCGGCGGAGGGAATATTTTTCTAGAGACTCGCCTCTTCCGTCCTCCTCGACCGACCTACTCTAGCCGCTACCACCTCCCGTTCGCGTTGTGTACCGCCTATGTACGGATCATCTCATTATTGCTATTATTACAATATATTATATTATCGGTTTACATTTTTCAAAAAAATATCTACTTAGACGCGAGTGCGGCTAACACGTCGGTCGGCGGTCACTGTGTGTAGTTGCTTAAGCGCGTGTAAAAATAAAAATTAAATTATTGTAATTAGATTTTGTGATTTCTGTCGAATCGGTGTGTATAAGTGTGCGTTTTTTTTTTTGGTTCTTTTGTTACACACCACGATTGTGCGCTTTTTTTTTTTGGAATTATTTAATACAATACAATATTTTTTTTTTTTGTTAAAAAAAATTAATCGTTATTAATTTTCCGACCGCAGCCGTCGAGTAGCGAAATTATATTCGTACAAGGTAAAATTAAGCATATCATAATATATTATAATACATTTCAACACGTACTTATTACTCAAAGCACTACTCGATCGCAATATTGTCACCGTTCGAGGTTAAAAATTCAAAATACTTAAATTTAGTGGTTCGGTTATAGGCTAAATTTTAAAATATACTTAAATGTCGAGCTGAATCGGTGTGACAAAATACTGCACAAGCCCAACAGTTGCCTGTGTTAATAATAATAATAATCAAATGAATTATTTGAATTATAAAATACTATTAAAACATAACCATCGCGCATAATACTCCCATTTATAATAAGTACCTACCTAATGATTTTACTCAAAGTGGATTCACTTAGGTTCGACCACTAAATTGTATATTTTTGCTCTATTACTAATTGTATTACTTCATTTAGTATTGTTTGTAAAACATGTTAAGTTATAACATAGTATATAAGTATTAAGTAGGCATACCTATACTATCTTCAAACACAATTAATAGTTATAGCTATTGATCGTTTTTTAAATGATAAACAATTTTTTTTTTCAAACAAAACACATAATTACAAGAATTTATATTTTAGCAACTTCCATAAAAAAACATCTAGTATACACTGACAAAGTAGAACTGTTGAAGTTGATTAGTATCAGTATTAACACTATTTGACCCGTAAACTCCCTTATGCTTTTTCTTATTCATATTAGTCTAGAATAAAATTAGTGAAGAGAATCAATAAAAAATGAATGAAGACACATTTTAGTTTTTGACCATGTTATACACGATAAATTTTATTTTGGAATTTATCATTACTTTTTGAAAGTAGAATTTCTAAACATCGCTCATGTAAACTGTATTGCGGTTAAATTTGATTTTAGTAATAATACATCCCTATAATATCTTTATATTATTATTATAGGCGATATTCATTCATCTAAAGACAAATTACAAGATTACCTGTATAGTTTATATATATATGTATAATTGTATACCTCTGGCGGATGTCATCATTAATTATCTTAAACAGAAATCGATTAGGAAGCGGTGGGCGCAACACTGCAGCGTTAAGGCAGGTCGCGGTTTTTCAATATCCATCTATACATGTACATAACTATATACTTTGCCCTATTGATTGATTGTCGTTTTATAAAACATCATAATAGGTAATCATTATTTTCATTGATTAAATCGACTAACGTTTATAAAAATTAATTTCATAATACGAGTAATATGTTAAACGTTAAAAACCAAAACAATTGTCTTTATTTTTTAAACAATAATACTATGAAATTAATAAACGGACAGGTGCGGTTTTTTTCTGACAAAATTTGATAACAATACATTTGATGTGGCTTTGTAAAGTGATAAGAAACAAAAGTCTTAACTTAACGTGACCTTACTCAAACAGCCATCCCGACACGACTCAATCTAACCTTAAATTATACATGATTTTTTCCAATAAATACATCTTAAACATTACTATGCTACGTTAAGTTTTTTATGCTTACGTAACTCCTACAGTAAAATAGTAAGATTATATACATTTAGCCTATTTCATTAATTTCTCCATATAACTTCGCATAATCATAATACATCCATCATCCATGTGTAAAACATTAAAATATGAACAAAATAAACTTAGTTTAGAAAATGAGCGAACAGCGGTTCAAAAAATATATTTATAGATAGTTAGGTAATAATATGGTCAAAAACTATACTGTTAATTTTTTTTTTTTTGAAAAGAACAACACTAGGATTTTTTTTTAGTTCTTACCACTTTTAGCCGTTTATTTTAAATTATATTATACAGTCAGTTCATGATGAAAAACATACGTGTCAGACAAATTAAGTACCTATAAATTATATTATATTGATGTATGATACTTAAAGGTTAGCTTCCTCTTATTTTGCAATTTAATTTTTGTACACACTAAATGGGATATAATACTTTTAAGTATGATATAAGATTTATTAGGACTATTTATATATACCTATATACCGCTAAGTATACATATAGTCTTTGCTATCACCATTGAGTATATTATTATGTAACATTAAGTGTATGCTCACGATATCTTTAACAATATCCCAATACAATTGTACTCGTTTTGACAAATAAGGCACCCTATATAGTATATATCATGCATGGCAAGAATTCTTAAAAAAATATATAACATATAATATACCTACGCCCGCCGATATTGAATATTCTTGGCGAAACAAATGGCTTTTTTTTTACCCTCCCGAATTCGTATGTACCATGTTCCCTTATGAATGTATATAAGTTCACATGTATAATATACATGTGTGTAGGTACATACGTGGGCGCGCGTTGCTTATAATTTAACGCATCTGCTTTGGTTAGAGTGTGTAAGAATCATATACGGCGGATGTGGAGGAAAAGGGGCGGAATGGAGAGTGGATAAAAAAAACCTATTCCGCGCGTAGACGGATCAGCGGAAAAGGGGGCGAGCACGGCCCTCCACTTCCTCCACTTCTGGCGCGCGTCTTCTTGACGAAAGATAACACGTCGTATTTGAAATATACACGGAATACACCTATCTATATGTATATATATATATGTATATGTGTGTGTGTGTAATGATTGACAGGTGGAAAACTCAGTGGCGACGGCGGCGGAGACCGGCAAGTGCTGAACGGCAGAAAAGGCGGTACCGGCGGCGCACGCGCACGTTTTGCGGAGGACGCGGGAAAATCCCTCGCAAAAAGCGGCTGCGACGGCGACGACGGCGGCGGCGGCTGCGGCTTCCATCGTCCCCGGCGGCGTAGCGCCGCGACGGTTACAAGAGCCGGTGTCATACGCGCCCGATGGCCGACAGTCGGCGGACGACGCTCGTCGACGATGACTGCAGTCTGTCATTGAACGATCACGACACAGCCGTTTAACAATAATATTTTCTACACCGTACATAATAATTAGTATATCAATTATTACGGCTACTGCCCGCGTTTTACGATATAGTATACGGATTTTTAGCGTTTTTCATAATAATATAAAATACCCGAGTGAATGTTATTGCGGCCCATCGTCGGCGGCCCCGTTGGTTATTAATCATGATGTTAAAAAACACGGAAGCGGACATGCGACCGGGCAAACAGCAACAGCTCATGTTGGCCGGGTTCGGCGGTCCCCAAATGCTGGTGGCGGACGCGCTGCAAGTCGGCGGCGGAGTTGGCGTGGACGCTGTCGACGACGACGACGACGACGATTGCGGCGTCGACCGCAAGGACGGCATGTACACGGCGATGGCCATGAAGGCATCGCCGTCGGCCGGTCTACAGGACGGCAACGGTTTCTGGATGGCCGCCGTGTCGGCCACCGGACCGCAAATGGACCACCACGCCGTCGCTGCCGCCGCCGCCGCCGATTACCAACCGGCACCGGTGCCGGATTACATGATGCACCACGTCATGGGCGGCGGCGGAGGCAACGACAACGTGTCGCCGGCCGACCAACAACAGCACCAAATGTACCAAATGCAGGGCGACCAGCAAACGGGCGGCGGCGGAGGCGGCCAGCAGGAGTACCCTTGGATGAAGGAGAAAAAGACCACCAGGAAAAACAACCATCAAGGTCAGTGGCGATTACTTTTTCTTAAATTATGACAAAATTTACAATCCTTGTGTATTAAAGTTAGTAAACAGTTTTGAAAAATATAATTTTTCGGAAAAACTAAACGAGGTACACAATTCACATTAAAGCCAGTTGCGTTTTGTTTTTTTATAGTACCTAAAAACCTAAAAAAAAAGTTAATATATTTTGTTTCGAATTACAAAAAGGATGGCTTATATTATGGTACGTTAATGTCACAAAATTCGAAAGTCTTTTGAAGTACACACATAACATACTCCGTAGATACTTGGGGAAATAGTCATAATATGTTCATCGGTATATGATCTAGAACCGAATATGAAATACCTGTTTTGTTTTTTTAACCCTTTGTCACTTGCGTTTATCACATATTTCAGTATGTACATCAAAACGTTTGATACAGTTCTGTGTATTCGAAACGGTCGACCGCGATTTTCCAACTAGTTTTATGGATTAGGACGCGGTCGAATGACCCAGCGTGTATCGAAGGGTTATACGACAATAATAACATAATATAGAAACTCGGACGGCGAATAACGTCAAGTGTCGGCGATAAAGTTCCGAGTTTAGCTCGTTGTGGTACGCGAACAGAATGCACAAACTTTGTGTTGACAAGGGACAGGCTATTTGGAATTCTGTGAGTATACCTACTCAGAACCGTCGTTGCATTTCCGAAATTCGACCGACAAAATCCCACGTGGCTTCGAATCGGGTGTACTTAAAACATTATATTAGATTCAAAATTCATTTTATATTATTTTACGCTTAGGCGTACACGCTGAACAAAAATAGAGACAAAACAACAAAATGTACAACTAGAATAACTAAATAAATAGTTAGCCAACTAAAGGTAACATGTTGTTGGTCAACTTTTTTGCTTAGTTAACTCAACCATACATTTATTGTGTCCCTATGTTAACCTATAATTATAATTGATCCGACTGTATACATTTTTTCCGTGCGAAAATGTGAAAACGATTCTAGTCGTTGACAATATAGTAGATCAGTAATAATATTATTTACTATATAGTGCGCCTCCCGGTGTAAACGACCTAAGTTTTCCAAAAGTCTCGCGTGAGAAATGAGAATAATAACTGGAAATGTAAAAATAAATAAATAAGCATCAGCTGCCGCTATTGGGAGACGCGAGCAACTTGTTTGGGCGAAAAACTTTTACTGTAAAAAAAAAAAACGCAGCCTATATATTGTGTAAGTATGTTATGTTGTGTGAGGAATTAACGCAGGAACGTGCCGAGTTTCCAAAAGTCCGGATATATGCATGTGTGTTCTTTCATTTATCACTTATTTATATTATGTATACTCACCCCGTTTATATGCGGATGCGAGCTGTTCCAAAGGGGATCTACACGCGGGAGGAAATTGCTTATTTTTTAAAATTCGCACGCACTCGACGATGTAACTTTTCACATAAACTTCCCCTAATATACCGCTAAAAAAAAAAAAAAATAATCATTGCGCCAAATTATTATTATTATTAATATGAACAAACTTTCGACGAGGCAGCCGCTGTATGTTATCGCCATATGTAGTGTATGATATAATATATAATAAATGTAATGCGGCAAACGCTTGTAAAACTTTCACCGGTCTCGCAAATAAATTATATTCGATAAAAAAATTGTTTTACCAGTGTTAAAAGCAGAGCATTGATATTGCTTCTTTGTCTTTCGGTCAAGTCACTTCCGCGTTGACAACAATTTATACAAGCAGCTCATCTCAGAATTATTTCAGATGACAGATCTCAGGTGGTCATCAACATTCGATTGTATCTATTGAAATAACGCCAATAATGTATTTCAATACAGGGAACATTTTCCACCAAATGACGAAACAACAAAACGTTTTTATACGCCTAGAATTGTACATCTTTCAGCTGTTATATAGTTGGAAAAATGTCCATAGTAAACTTCTTTGAACTTATTTAACTATTTTTTTTTTTTGGTTCCAACATGTTTGATAACTTTGTGCCGTGTGTCTTTAGGTTGTGTTCCAATCACACAACGATGCTATGGCATTTGCTGAGACTTAATATAGGTCTGTCAGTGGCAGTGAGCCTTTTACCGGTGTTAAGCGGGCACGACACACACCGATAGAGCATCCCATCAATTCGAGTTTGACATTCGGTCCGAGGGTTTGACCATTTGTACCATTCATCATTAAGTGCGTGGGGGGGGGGGTAGTGTTTTATGACGCCGGGACAGATAAATCGGTTGTGTTCTCACGCGTCTCGTCAAACGGCTGAGGGTCGAGGGATCAAAATTAACAGTAAAAAAAAAAAAAAGTTATTAACAAAAAAAATTAAAAGGATAATTGAAACGATTATAAGGTACAAACAAAAAAAGATTGATCCTCGTCCGTGCCTTTTCTTTCCAACGCAACGCTTCGCCGTAGTTGTTTATACACTAATAAGTTATTATTATTGTTGTTATTTCGATAACCGTGAATAATCTGCAAGTGTTTTGACTACCGGGCACTATTTAAGTATAGATATAATATGTTATTATTATTTTCAGTAGTAATGGTATAAATACCCTCATGGGACATTACACCTCATCGTTTGCTCGACTCTTAATGGATTTATATAGCAAATAACAAATGAATAAAACCAATCATACAACAATCGTAACATATATAATTAACTATAAACACAAACTAAAAAAAAAAAAAAAAAAAAACACCCTTTATTTTAAAATAAAAACCTGATTTTAACAGTATATATATTTTTTGTTAAATTAATTTTATTAAAACAGCACAGTAAAATTAATAAATTATTAAATATAGATACACAATAGTTGAAATTCAGTAGGTACAATCAATAGCTTGAACCAAAACCTACTACTGAAATCCCAGTGGCAGTGATAGAACACATAGCCACATATGACATAGCAGTATTGGTTTTGTTTAAAAACATTTGAATAATGTAAACTTTCTGCCTAAACATCATGTAAAACTGATGACAATCAAATATTAAAGTTTAAAAAGCGATATACATAAAATTATTGTGTGGGTTAGGTTAGATTATATTAAACCGCACTTGTGAATTTATTGTGTTCAATTCTGAAGTCTCCAAATAAGTATATTGAATAAAGTAAATTATGACAACAGTGCCTAATTGTTTTTTTAAACGTGAACTGTCAAGTCTAATGACAGCAAATGCGGGTTAATTAACAGATTAGTTGTCCCGCGATTAAATAGCTACAATAGTGTGTTATTTTTTATACAATTCTTCAACTTATTAAAACGGTCAATCTAGATATTTTACATTTTTGTTTTTGACAATATCTCTTTATTTAATAAATAATAACAACAAAAAACCACTTCGCCAAGATAAGCTTTGCCTGTGGCCACATTGTTGTACATAAGCCAGCACTGGCCATAGGTACGTTCTATGTTTACATATTATACTCATATAAGAAGTAGCGTTGTTATAACGTGTAGGGTTGACAGTTTTTTCATTTCTGAACAAGAGAGAACAATTATGTAATTTTTACAAGATAACAATAAGTGCTACCGTGAACGTTTATTGTTGTGCGCCGTGTATTGTATAACATATCGGATATGTAACCCGTGTGATATAATAATATTATAATATGGAACCGGAATTTTACTGACAGATCGAAAATGATCGATAGACGAGGGACACAATGTGTAAAAAAAAAAAAAAATTGCCGTTACTAGTCTAAAAACGATAGGTGCACGCGGTGTGTTTTTATATAATATCACTCATATGTAATATTATTCGCACAAAATAGATCCATAAACGTAACGGGATAACGTCGATATCATGTGTGTTTTATTATCCATATGGACTAAAAAAAAAAAAACGGTAAAAAAATGTTACAAAAAAAAAAAACCAAATACCATAAGGCGGCGGCCTTGCAATTTGCATTGACCAGTCGATAATGATAATAATCGGGTATTGTATTGTCCTTTTAAGAGATAATACAAAATATATTATTATATCATATTGTAAGATGCGGACCGCTAATTTGTGAAAAGCTTATTGTAATTTTATTTTATGATTATACAGTATGTGTGTATAAGTAAATAAAAACTTAGACCCCGAACAATAGACCAGCAATTGGTGGTGTTTTTTTTTTTCTTTATGGGTGGAAGTCAATAATCAAACCGTTATCGGTGTTCCACAGAAGAGCCGTGGCTCCGATAATAGTTATTAATTCTTTTGTATAATATGCGCACTATAAGCATATAATACTTGCATTGTGTGTGTATTTTGGACTGGTGAAAGTACATTTTGGCTGGCGCTGCTACTGTTGCTGTGCTGCTTGCGTAGAAGGTCGGCACGAAATCGGTTTGACAATAATGATGATAATAATAATAATAATAATAATAAAATATTTGTAACAATGCGTTTAATCACATATGGCGTGCGCGCGTCCACGGTCTTTGAAAAACTATAATAATATAATAACGTTGGCAAATAATATTCAGCGCTGTAAATAATATATGTATATCCTTACAATAAAGGGTCTTTAATGATATGTATTTTTGTTTTATATTTATAATAAACGGATGCGCTATTATTGTTGTTTGCAAAACATTTAAGAGGTATTGCATCGCTCGACAACTCACAAGTAGGTATAGCCGTAGTCGTTAGGGAGGCATCGTCGATAGTGCTCCACAAAACCACCGTTTGATCTTTTTATGACTTTTTCTAATTTTTTTTTTTTTTTTTTTGATCTTAACCGTAATATTTGTAAGTGCCCAAGCTCAAGCGGTCTTGATTCGTTGTTTTCTGCGATTATTTCAGTCTAAATAGCGTATAATCGGATCAGTCATTTTGGAAAAGGACAAAGTCAGTATTTAAACTGTTTAAATGGTTTACTTGGGAAATACAAATTACAAAATAAATAGCAAACACGAGCAGCAAATTGTGTGCCGGAGAAATGTATTTAAAAAATAAAGTTTTAATTATTATAAAATGATTTTGTCGGTCAAAT